ACAGCGATCAGGAAAATTACTTGGAATTGAGTCGTGACATTGAATCGAATACGGTGACTCGATTATCTTCTTTCGAGAATTCTTTGAGAATTGTATGGTAATTATTTTTGTTTTTTATCGTTGTCTGCTTATTTTTTTTTTTTATCACAACTAACATTTGCATCGATCTAATTTTTGGATATGTTAATAACATACAGTGTTTCTTTTCTCCTAAATACTACAATGATCCAAAGTTTTTTCTTATATTTATTTATTTCCTCGTTTCTAGAATTATTTATTTATATAATTTTTTCAAAGAATTTCAAGAATTTCAATTTCAAAACTTTTGAAATTTGTAAAAACATTCCCAATCCCAATCCTCTTTCATAAATCTCAAAGCAATTTATAATTCCGACTTCTTTTACAAATCTCCTTTGCACTCAAATTGAACTACGTTAAACCTACGTTAAAAAAAATCTTTAAAAAAATTCCTTATCAAACTCAACTTCACTAAAATCCTTGTCCCAAATTTCAATTCCTACCCCAAAGAGGAATAGCAATCGCAAAGAATTATCCAACGTTATCGCCACTCGATTCCCTTCCTGGCGCGCGCGTATTATCCGTCGAAGAGATATCTCCCTGCACGCGGAGCGCGCGAGACAAATTGAAGTTTTTCACGAACGAACCTGTCCGTGGATTGCTGCTGCGAATACCTGTCTTCCTTCGAACCGGCCACGCTCTATCCGATCCTGCTCGCTCGGTTCACGCTTCACGCTTCACGCGATTCTCGCTATCTTCTCCGCGCCTTGGACGCACCTTAAATCGCCGATTTACTGGGCGCGCGACGAAACTCCTTATCTTTCTACCGTATAAGGGAGTTGGCGAGGAGAACACGTGGAACCACAAAGGGAAGGACTCGTCTCTTTGTCTTGGAATGTTGAAAGGATCGAGGACGAGGCGATAATTTGTCCGGTTCCGGTTTTGGGGAAGGTGAAGGTGATTGAAGGGGTGAAAGAAGGGGAAGGATGAAGGGAGGAATGGAAATGGTGAATTGGTTTATTCGATGTGGTGGATTGTTGTCTTATTTATAAAACTTTGAAAACTTTGAATGAATTAGACAAATTTGTGTGAAACTTGTGGATTAGAGCGTCTATCTTGATCACATTAGTTCCAGGATATTTTTTCTTGCAAGAAATCATAAATACTTCAATAATAAGTTACAGGCGATAAAAGTCACATCACTTTTCATTATGATAAATTGTTAAACAACTAAAAAAGAAAAAATAATTAAAGTTACAAAAGGATTAACTTTACATAATTTTATAATTAATAATCAACAATCTTTTGTAACATTTTCTAATAATCCACCTTTTTCGAATGATTTTTGATACTTCATATGGAAAAACCTGCAATTTAATTATATTTTTACAGGTAATCAAAGTTACAAGAGGCATTAACCGTTCGAATAACGATACATACTGAAGTACATAGCAAGAGGAAGAGGAGCGGGCAACGGTCGATTATTAAATTTCTGTGCCGGCAGGATCTAACGCGGGACGTTCCTTCCCAGGCCCCCGATGGTGGCCAAAATTCCTCTTTTTTTCATCCAGCTCGGCGACGAGGCCGTATTAGGAAACCTGCAGTCATTGTGCGCGCCAACCTCGACGACGACGCCGACGACGACGCCTTCCCTCTTCCAACAACTCAACGCGTCAAATTTTCTTATCTCTCCTCTCCCTTTCTGAACCAAACGTGGTGGAATTCGCGCGAGGAGGATGAGAATTAAATCATATCGTAAAAAACGTTCAATTATAAAATCGGGGATACAATGGCATTTGTTCTGATAAAATCTGAAAGAAGAAAAAAGTACGAAAAAGATGGTTAGTTGGTTAGTTCTAATGCATCAAACTGCAAAAATATTTGAAGACTTTGAATTTTTGATTCGATGCAATAACAC